TTAATTTACTTTCGGCAAAGAGCAAAGAGAATGAAAGGGAATGGTAGGACAAAGGGCTATACGAATGCCAATCAGTGTTTATTTCAACGGGCAGTTATATAACAATTTGGTATACTAATAATATCGAGCAATGATAGAACTAAAATGAATAAATTTTGTCTGAAAAAGTGTAAATTTTGTAATGAAAGGATTTATACTTTTTCACAGAATAAATCCAAGATTAGCATGAATTGAAATTCGGTTTAAAATGAACTGCTCTGCTTTTGTCTTGGATCTTGTCTACTGTTTCATTGAGATTAAGCTGCCCAAATCGTTCCTGAAATGTGCTAAATTTTGTCTGATTAGGGGAGGGGGATACAACCCTCCCAACCCCAGATTCCTTTATGCCTAGAAGAAAGAAAAGGGATTGCCTAGGCTTACCCTTGTCAAAATATTAAAGACCATTAATATAAATTATGAAAATGATAACCTATATTTATACAGGAGTACCTGTTAAGCTTGCACAGAAGCTACTATCAGTTAAGGTCCTGTTAAATTTAAACGTCTGAAAGGAATTAAAAGATATAAAGTTACCTGTGCAAGATGAAATATTAGAAGCTTAAAAAGTTAAAAAACACAATCAAGGTGATCGCATTGTTTCTTGAATTTCATTACTAACTGCTTTCCTTTCAACGTAGCTGTCAGACAGATCTTTACATAAGTTTGACTCCTGGAAAAGGGATAATTTGCGGCAAGCTTCCGTGGGAACTTTTGAAAGCAAGAGATTGACATTATTTCCACAAGTTTAATGTCGAATTTTCTTGAAATAGCCTTCGAACAGTCTCGGTGTAAGTCCATTTGGGCATTTGAACACCTCGATTAGACATCTCTTATTTTTGCATGATTCACGGTTGGCAGTTTCACTCTATAGCTCTTATCATTGATGATAGTTAAGACTCTATTACGGATTCTTTCAAGTTGTAATTTATGCGTATTGATCATACCGAGCATGCAGTGCAACATCTGTGGTAAAATGACTACTTTGTAGATCGTTTCTGCTACCCATGGGCTGATGTTATGTCGTATTTGAGCCAGAAATTTTGTTTTTGACAACACGTTTTTGTAAGTCTTCGCAAGATGTTCTTTAATGGTCAAATTTTATCCATAGTAACCCCGAGATATTCGTACGAATCGTTTCGCAGATCACTTTATCGCTTAATGAAATGCTTACGTTTTCCTGACTTTGCGAGTCTTTGATGTGTTCCGAATAGTATAAATTCAGTTATTTTTCTTTAGGTTAAGAACAAGATTGTTACTTGTGAATCATTTTTTGACGATGTTAAATTCAGTATTTAATATTTTCTCAATTGTTTTGCTGTCTTCATCGAATGCAAATATAACAATGTCATCTGCATAAAGCAAAACCTTACACTTCTTGATCTGGTCAGTGGTAACATTTAACACTATTTTAAACAGCAGTGGACCCAGTATGGATTCTTGCAGAACTCCACAACTGATTGAATGTCTTTTGGAGTATATGCTTTTAATAGAAACAAACTTTTGCCTGTTGAACAGGTAACCTTCAAACCAAATAAATTATTTTCCATGTACTCCATATATTGGCAGTTTGGCTAGCAATGTTGTGCAATATATTGTGTCGAACGCTTTTCGTAAGTCAACGAAAACTGCTCCTGTAAATGTACCTTTATCCATGTTTGTCTTTATGTAGTCAGATAGATACGTGATTGCATGCTCAGTGGATGATCTCCATCGACAGCCAAATTGACAGTCCGAGAGGAGGTTGTTTTCTTCAAGATATTTATAAAGTAAAATTGGTTATGTACGATTCGCTCGGAGACCTTTAATAGAACTGGTAAGACCATGATTAAGCGACAGTTCTCTATCACTGTTTTCTTATCAGATTTGTGGATCTTGGCATATCTTTTTGCTGTTGGAAAAAATGAATGTGCCAAGCATCGGCTTATTAATTTGACGTTTTTCAGAGAAACAATTATTATTGATTTTAAGAAAATTTGGGAGGAAAGGAGTCAGGATGACCTTTGGTTCCGAGTGCACATCAATGTGAATGACACAAAGCTGTTGTATTGATCTTTGTATCGAGTATTTTCAGTAGGTCATGTTTACACATCCAAAATGCAAACATTGCTATAGTCTGCGTTATCTACTGAATTGATGTTGATTATAGACAGATAATAAGAGTTATACCTAAATAAATTAATAGAGAGATCCAATAAAATCAAGTAATATATAAACAATTTGTTATCATACAATTTGTGTGGCACTGTGTCTGTTATTCTATGTATTTGTGTCTCTACAAAGAACCTCCCTGACATTTGGTATTTGTATCATATTACGAAAACACGTGGAATATCATTGGCTGGTCACTAGAAGCAGTCAGAAATTATACATGTGTGAAACCTCCTGGTGTGAAACCCTAACACAGGCACCGCGGAGCGTTAAGAAAAGTGGGGGTCTAAAAAAGTGGGAGAGGGGCAGCTAAAAGCGCATTAAAAGAGGCTTTACTGGTAGTTTAGCACTGAATATTTAGTATTTTTACAAAAAGTGCGCCCCCAGCCCTCCCTGCTCTGCGGTGCCTGTCACAGTTATGTGATGCAATGCCTTTCTTATGGCTAGTGAGCTATGCTACTTTTTATTGTTTTTGTCTTACTGTTGTTCTTGATCTAGTTTTTTTTGTCTACGTTATAATGAAGTAAGGCATACGCAGACACACGCATGGCTAATATATCTAAATGTGCTCATCAGCATCATGACAACGAATCGAAATTTTTAGCCAAACATGGCCAAACATGGCCAAACATATGTATTTCTTCACAATCTGTGGACTTGCTACAGGAGAGACTTGTAGCAAGTCCACACTATCTGTTGCCAAAATCACACAGTCTGCGTGACTCGCGTGTGCTGCGGGACGAGCAAAGCCACCTGGGAGCTCTATACCACTTACGCTATTAGGACATTTCGAAGACTGCGTAAGAAGAAGGGAAGGCGGCTAACTGCAACTTGACAGTGTATCTGCTGAGTCTTTAAAGCTGGTTACATCTGTAAAATTGAATATGTATTTTGGGGACGAGAACGGGTGAGTTTGTATCATTCTACTCATTAGTTTCTTCGCCTATATGCTTGCTGCATCGCCAGTTTCTTTCTCAGCGAGTGTTAAAACAAGTCATGTATCTGCGGGATGTAAACAACTTTGTTGCTATCCAATAAGTTACTGACATCTTAATTGTATTATTTGGATTGTTTGTGACAATATCGAGTCAAGTATTATGAAATGATATTTGAAACTGCCTATGTATGTGGCAAGGAAATGTTTTTTGACTTTCTGAACTTCATGTGAACATTACTCATTTGTTTGTTGTGGTGCATAAAATTTGATATCAATCCTTAATGCATCAAAGGAGCTTTAGATCCTCGGAATTATGCATGTCTATGTACTAGGTTTGATCTTCTGGTTACTGGTAAATAAAACCCTCTATCTAAAGAATCGGTAGGGCTTGAAATGTATCTTTCATTTGACAAATTGTATTTGTATTGTACAATACTCCTTCATGTTTGTTTTTGAGTTTGCTAAAGAAAAGTCCTATCACTGAGCCAGGTTTTTGTCTTAAAATTCGCAAACAGACATCAAATTAATATGAATTAATGTAAAACTATGATTAACATCACATTTAAACTAATAAGAACATGACATGTAAGGAGCAACGCTTGAAATAGGTAAACTAATGTTGAAGAACGCTTTCCCATATTCAATAAACATGCTAAAAATAGCTTTAATTTGGTTTATTGCCTGAACACATTGCAAAAGAAAACAGTTACTGTAAAAGTTATCCAAAGTTTATTTTTAAGGGACTGATTCTGACCATTATTACCAGAAATCATATTTGACCAATGTAAGCTTTTAGTTGAAATTTGTGAAAATATCATGTGTTATAATGATTAATGATATAATAAACCAAATCAGGAACATGAAAAATGAAGATCTAGATTATATCAATATGTTTCTTTCTTTATGGATTAAACAAGGAAGTTTTGGCCATATGTCCTTGGGGATTATGGTTGGGTGTAATGAAAGCGGCGAGGAAGTAATGCACTGTCTTATGGTTCTTTCAAGGAAGTGTTTACTTGTTATAAAAATTTTCTATTATGCAGATTGGCTGTTTTTTTGTGAAAATACTTTTTGTTACTGATGCTTCCTTGTAGAGTAATCAAATGATCTTCCAAGTGTACTAGCTAAATTTTATTATCTTATAAAATGTCCTACTAAGCCTAGAAACATGAAAAATACAAAACTGACAGAGAAAGAGAAAGGAAATTGAAAAAGTTTGAATGAAAGATTTGCATGTCTAGATTATTCCAATAAGATGTTAAAAAACTTTGTTCTACTACTGGCTACAAATTATAATGTGGCACTCTGATTAATCTATGCCATAATTGCATTGAATTTCCAAATTTATTCAAATCTGGCTCATGGACACTGGCCAAGCCTGCCTGAAGGTTAAATATTACACATCCACAGAGGGGCATTTGAGTTACAATCTTCTCGCTTCAGAAGGAAGTAGACTGTACATTTGATAACAATCTTGATGGATATTATATGTTTCTTTAAAAACATGCACAACATCGTCTTGAAAGGCATCAAACTCCCTGCAACATTCCTGTTTTTCCACTGCTTTCTTAAAAATATTATTTTTAGTTTACCAATACCAGTCATTTGTCAACCAGAAAGATAAACAAAAGAGGAAGTTTTTTTCACTCTAGCTGGTTATGTTGAATCAAGTTAATCAATTTGTTTTATTTGTCAAAACATAATTTGTTAATGAAAAAGATTTCTGAACACCTGTCATTGTCCAAAATTTCAAAATTTTCTCATGATAAAGCTAGAGCAGGAAATGAAATATATGAAGTGGTGCAACCCAATTGCATAACTTCACTTTCTGCATTGGCAGTGAATGGTCAAAATTTTGAATATTTTGCTCATAAATTATCCAGCAACAATTATTAAATGACATACATAAGCATATTCATTTTTTGTATTATTTTTTATATTTGTTCTGTTTTATGTAGCTTTTATCAAAATGGATTTAAATAAATTCAAAACGCAACTCACTTAAGTGGCTTGAGGTACAAGGATTATTTATTAACCTGATGTATTGTGGTTGAAGTCATTTTTGAGATGGCTAAACAAACATTTCAACCACATTTTAAGAAATCTCTCTTCAGTTCATCTGTATATATTGTCTTTGAGGGTAATTCGGACCAACGAAAAACCTTACGTGGCAGGAGAAAATCTAACAGAACGAACATATCTGACCGTCTCGAAAACAATGACATTTAACCTTATCTAGTAGGAAGCAGGTTGCATTCAACCCGTTTTCTTCGGAAATGTACTGATGGGCAAAGCTAAAATAAGTCATCTTAGAATTCCTAAGTTGAAAAACTAAACTTTTTGCCAGAAACCTTAATCCTTTGCATGAGAATGAATGGACTTTGATTCCCAACCGTGTCCTATGTTGCTGTGTGTTGGGCTTTCGGTGGGCCTAAGTATCGTGTAACCATGGTAAAAGTAATTTTTGATGCGCTTCGCTATTGATGATGTTGACAGGTGAGATTTAGATGCGATGTTTTGATTTCTGGAAATGCAGATGTTTTGCTCGACCATGTTTGTTTTTTAAACCAACATTCAAACGATCCTGCAGACAATCGTATAGATTTTGATCGACGTTGTAATTCTATATAGGTGACCAATGACTTCCTCGGCAAGACCCACCGTTATTTACATAAAGATTTATTACTTTTTTGTAAATTTATTTGGGCATTTCATTCTCTGTGTTCGTTTTCATTTAGTAGCTAGACAGTATTTTGTATAAGGCTCAAATATTGGTACATTAATTAGATGATAGAAGTCATGATCGTTGTTTTATAAAAAGACACAAGAATGTAGTAGCGTGGTACTGATTTCGGCGCTTCCATTCCCAAAATCGTATTCCTAAAATCGTATTTTGAGGTTGTTGGGCTAATCAGGTCAATTTCGATTTTCGCACTGGCAAAAAGCAACCATTACGAAAAATGCTGCTTGAGCAAGTTCCTTGTCCGAAAGTTTCAAAATAGATAAAGATACTAAAAAAGAGTCTGATGGGAGTGGCCGAGATTTGTCCACCCCAGTTTTTACGAGCCGGCGACGCCACTGTTTTGGTCGATCAATAATCTGCCCTGTGCTGGTGTCCAGTATTCATCACTTTTGTTTTTGAATTTGACACTTTCAGTTATCTTAATGGGCGATAAATTATTATTTTACCTTGAAAAGAAAGACCCTTGATGATGTCATTCAATTCTTTCCTTTATGGACAGGAAAGCTCCAAAAATTTTGCTGCCGAATCAGCTGACTACCCCTTCAGGAGAAGAAGTGGCCGGATATTTGCTGCTTAAAATTGTCCTTCGGGGGGCTGTGACTGTTGGCGTACCTTGACAATTGACATTTTAGACAATTGGAAGTTTGTTCCAGTTTTCATACCATCAGAAATTTTTCGGAACAGCTAACGATTTTACCGACCTCGAAGGCTTAGGGATTTCACACACTGTACATCCCCGTAAGATAATCTCTTGACCGTTCCCTTATCTACCAGGTACCCCATCTGAAAACCGTGAAAGTCCTTGAATTACCCTACTCTTATAAGTCCCCTGGAATAAGCCCCACTCTGGAAGAAACTTTTGATAATCCCCATCCACGAATGAACCCGACCCTAACATGCCATATTTGGCGTTTTAATATGCCCTTATGTGGATTAATCGAGATAAAACAGAAAGCATAGTCAATAGAAAGTTAACGATTTTAGTCCATAGCTGATAACACATTTAGCTTAGCGGCGAAAGAGAAACCCAAAATACATGAGACATTGACGAAGTAATCTGCAAAGACTATGAGCGAATCGATGTTTTGGAGCAAAGTGTCTTGTTGTGCTTTGATTTATACTTTGGTTCGATATTTTAGAGAGGATTATTGAGTAAAAATGCAAATGAAATGAACTTTAAAATCGCGAAAAAGCTACAAAAAGAACTATTTGGATTGGAGGTTAAGTCCCCACCTCCCTTGAATTTGCCCCCTCTTAAATTTGCCGAAATTAATAGTTCCTTGGGATTAATTCGATAATTTACGGTATAAGAAACAAATTTGATATATTTTCTGCACAGAATGCAGGAAAAGTCACTGGCCAGATATACAAGAAGGTTTCTGTCAGGAGAGGTTTCAGTAGACAGTGCATCATGGAATAATTGATGAAATCCAGCATCGTAGAATAATGATTTGAAATAAGAGCACACTACTGATCTACTATAATTCAACTGTCAAATAAGTTTATTCTGCAATCGAAATAAAACATAAGAAGGAAACACCAATCAAGCTAATTTATTCAATTCTTTCAAGAGAGAAAACGTTGTGTTAAAGAAATGTGTCGCGAACATGACTGGCTAATGCAATACAATTCTCTTTTTGGTTTAGTACAAAGCATGAAATCGAGGGTGAATTTTTACGGAAGTAAAAATTCAACAAGAAGAAATGAAAAATCACGAAACAATGGAATTCCACTCCAAACGCTTTTGTTTTATTAGCCAACGGTTAATGCGACATATGCCCTTTAACTTTCAAGTTGCACACGTTTGTGCATTTGAGTCTATTTCAAAACAAATGTCTGTGAGCCAAACTAGCCTTACTGCTCGAAGTTATCATTTTTATAGCTATCCTAATCAATATATATTTTTTCTGTTTGTAATCGATGTCCTTTGTAAGAAGTCTTTTTATTCAAGACATGTTTACATACACAGGTTAGAGTTGCTGACGTCACATGCATTTCTAATACTTAGATAAAAATTAGCGAAGTCCCCTTTTATCAAAATTGCTGCATCTGTTGGGCCGAAAATGTATGGCCCAAGCATTAGGGAATGACGTTGAACTCTTTTCATGCCAGCTATTTCAACTGAGACCCATATTTTATTTATTGTGTTTGCCCATAAATATTTAATGAAGCATTTGGCTAGCTTATTCACTAGCTTACCAAAGGCACAGTTTATGCTTTCAAGCTGTGAAAATCGGATTTTCTTCTCGCGTAATTATCGAAGGTGTTTGATAAGCAACCCGTCATATCTTCTGCAGTAAATGCCATGGTCCTCAAGGGCGTTTTTACAACTTTCCTTGAGCGCTCTGGTACTTTCTCTTATAAGATGAACTAAAGTAAAAAAAGCATTCTTTCTTTACTATTTAGATGCTATTCAGCTGGAGTGAAACAGGATTTATTAAGTTATACTGAGAGAAATGTTTGTGAGTGACACGACCAGGGCAAGTCTCGAGCTGTCCATGAGTGGCACTGCTTTCGGACCGGGTATTGAAAGGTGCTGTCCATGAGTGGCACTGCTTTCGGACTGGGTATTGAAACGTGTCCGGGCAGCTCAATTGGTAATGCAACGACATAAAATGTCACTGGTTTGCAGGGACGAATTTAGGTTGCAAATATTGGGGAGGGGTTGTTTAATAATAATTCAATTTTGGTGCCCACACCCTTCCGGTCGCTGAAAATTGATGAAAAGGCCCTTTTTTTAAAGATAGGTTTTTAACTTCAAGATAAAGAAGATAAGAAACTTATAAAGTAGAATATTGGCGTTATTTGATTACTGTTTGTCTACGTCTTTGAGTTTTTTAAAACCAAGGGGCAACTGACTTCAAGAATAACTTCACTAGTATGACCGTCATTTGAAGACCTTTGATTAGCAAAATCAATTAAGTAATAGATAGTTTAACGGCAGCACTGGAGAATCGTAGCGCTTATAGTTTTAAGCCTGATAAAATGAAAAAATGCTTGCAAGAGCTTTCCAGCTACATGATTTACTTTGTTTTTATTTCAAATAAATACTAAACAAAGAAGTCCTTGGTTGATGAGAGAACCAGATTTCAATTGCTATTTTTTGATGTTCCTTCGCAATAGAAACTTCTCTTTGCCTGTTTCTGATTGTATGCGCGAAAACAATGCAATTGAGAACAAGACAAAGAACGCCATGTAATATTAAATTCAGTAGGTTTCGCACTGTGTGCAGAAACAGTGTGGATAATGAGATAGTGCTTAGTATGGTTGAATTGATGACGTTTCTTACATCTGCAAGAGAACAACACATCTGACCTGAAACACGATGAAAGTATGGCAGTTAGCACAACGCTAATGTCTTAAATTTACCGTAAAAATTTTTTATCCCCCCTCTCAATTAAGCCCCCCCACTCTTATTAGCCCTCCTCTCAAATTAGTCCCCCCCCCCAAAACTTTTCACTGATGCTGAAATAAGTGAACGTGATAAAAAACAGAGATTTTTATTTTATTCATTGGTCGTTCAATACTTTGCATCAAGTCAAAGTTCACACTGTCTCGTTCAGTCACGACCGATCCGAAGACAAAGCTTTGATGTGCATTAAGCACGGGCAATGTGAGAACCTTTTACCAAAATTACAGGCCGTTGGTACTCCGAGGGATGAAGTCAACCAAGATATCTTAGATTTCATAATTGATGACGATGACAGTATTATTGATCTAGCAGGCTGATTTGATGTTTTTTATTTCGCAAATAACAAAAAATTAGTTTTCCAACTATAAATGGTTTTTTTAAAAAAATATTTATTAAGCCCCCTCTCTTTTAAGCCCCCCTTTGAAATGCTGAAAAGCAATAAGCCCCCCGGGGGGGCTAAAAAGAAAATTTACGGTAAGCTAAGTTAGAGATGTCAATGTGCACAGCTGCAAAGCTCTGGGTTGGAAACAAAAAATTAAGATAAAATTTGAAGATCTACCTGATTTTCTTAGCCCTGCAGGAAATGGCTTTTTTGATAGGGGTTGGGTGAAGCGAGAATCATTTCATTCCACAAAATTTTCGTACGTCACTGCCAAAAAGCCTTTTGTTTTCGAGAAAAATCCGCCAAAGTTCCTAAAATCCTATTGTTCCAAGAAATCTCTTATGCTGTTTGGAAAGAGTGATACACCCCCCCCCCCCCCCCCCCCCGAGTGAAGTGCTTCAGTGCTGTATTTATGCCGCCATATAGAAAGGGTAAACGGGTCCTTTTTTATGAAATATTGTCACGGGTCTGGATTGTCTCACCCATTTCCCCAGTTGTTCCAGAATGATTTTGCAGCATTTTTGTGTCATTAAAGTAAATTCTAACTGCTCTTTTTGCCGCTAACTGTTCGAATTCACATTACACAATTTTATTGTAGCTTCTGCTGTGTCTTCAAAAAATCATTTTATAACACAAGTACCTTTCTCTTCCAGGCAGTTTCAAAGTGGCCCCCCTGGAAGGTTTGTTTGCTAGAATTTAATATTCATTCTTGTTCCGCTGGCTATTAATCCTGCATATCCGACTACAATCCCCGACAAAAATAGTTGAGACTTTTCAAGGAAAGTTGATATTTTATCTTTCATTTGAAAATAACTTTTCCCCCTCCCCAGTTCAATGTTCAATGCGTGATTTTGAAGGAGAAATGATAGAACCACAAATCCAACATTGATTCGGGGGGGGGGGGGGGGGGGGGGGGGGTGATTCGAATTTACAGGGACAACATAAAGTAGATAATTGCAAAAATTCCATTTTGTTGCAACAATTTTGTCCGGGAAGACTAGTTTTATTCAATTTTCGCTCTTCTAAGGCATAGACCCTCGAACCGTCTGGGGGACTAGTCTCAATAGCTTCTAGCTACATAATAGCTACAGTGACTCTCTCAAGATTAGTGGATGCAGAATGAATGAAAAGGTCACTTTGAGGTATTTAAGTTAGAAAAAGCTACAAATTTAGAAACAGAATGGCTTTTTATGAAAATATCACCGAAAACCTTACATTTCATGCTGAAAGTTGAATATCCTTCAATGATCGATATGCAATTAATGTTCTCCGCTGCCATTTTCGATACATTGTTCCTATCCTTCTTGGAACTTCTCTCCGTTTTTGCTTCTGTTTTTTCTAGCTTTCAAAAGTCTGACTGCTCCGCACACGCAATACTTTTTTCGTGACGTTATTTCTCAAGCGCAACCACTATTTTACCTATTCGCAACAACTCGTTACCTTTATCAAGCCATTACAAAAATTTATTTTTTGTCTAAGTCAGGGAAGTTTGGTAACATCATCTTGTTTCGGTTGCACAGTTTTAAAGGCTTCGCCCTCATCCCCTCATTATAGATTTGATTGCTATGTAAAATGAAAATATATTTGCTAAGAGATATATGAAGAATGGTGCCTTTGGATGAGTTATTACTCAATGAAGTGAAAGCTGGAGTAGAGCGTTGCAGTACTCTGTCAAGGATTGCGAGGATTTCCAAGAAATTTCAAGCTTTCCTTCTTCTTTATAGCTATTCAAAACTTACTTTTTGCACTTCTGTTTGCCAATGCTAAAGACGTGTTGAGATCTTCTTTGTGGTTTTCCATAAATAATTGTAGCCTCGAGCTGCTTTTCACGCTATAACTGCGTTGCTTTTTGCCGGCTCTTGACGTTCACAAACAAATATAATGTGTTTCTGCAGCATCAATCTTTATGCAAAGCATATGCTCGCGTTAATATCTTGGTCGCTATGACTCTCCGGCACCTGCTTTTTGAAGCTGTTTTCTTCTGTCGACTTCTGCAGTTGCTGTATCTTCTATATCTTAGATGTGGCTTTTTTGTTCATTACCACCACCTTTGCTGCTGTTGCCGACTTCCTTATGGATATACCTCTGTTAAGGTAATCGCATCCTTTCGCTTGAAAGCAGAACCGTATCAACAAAGTCTATTTCAAGTTTCTCTGCTTCTTTCTTCGATGTCCATCACAAAGCTGTTTTCTAGTCATCAGCAGTTGATAAATGAACTATCGTTATGGGAAAGGTCACGTTATATGGCTTGCTGTTTTGCTAGTTGGTGCCTGATTTTGTCATTATTGTTTACGTTGACTATTGTGTCATTTGTTTATTGATTATTGTTTTTTAAGTGGTTGTTGATGTTCACATATTGTACACAGGGCCACCAACTGCCTCTCCGCGTGCCCAGAGGCAGGTCCAATGCCTGGGCCCCTTCTTTCCCAAAGCAATTTACCTAAAATATGGATTGAATATTGATTTAAGTTGCTTAGAACTTTTGTATTTGCTTTTAATTTATATTCATAAAGCATTTTTAAACTTTCCCAGTATAGATATGATTCATAAATACCATGGTATTAAGACTCGTATTAGCAGGCCCCCCTTGCTTACGGGCCCAGGGGCAATTACCCCCAGCCCCCCTCTTGATTGGCTGGATTGTACATGTCATCTCGAAATGAATTTCAGTGACCAAGTTGCTTTTGGTGTACCTCAAGTTTTGCCATAGCAATTCTATTTCACATCATTTGCTTCTACATATCTTGCCAGGAACAAGGAATTATAACCTTGCCAGAATTTGTTTCGAACGGTCATTTAATTTGCCGATTTCATAATCAATGAATTTGTTAAGCAAAATGTTCAAATCAAACATTTGCGAAAATGAGATGTTTGGTACTGTGTTTGCATTGAAACCTAAATATTTTTGCCTCTTAGATTTCTTTGATCGCAGATATCCTGATCCTAGATGGGGAGTTCTACACGATATCTCTTTGACTTTAAACCCTGCTCAAACTTTGAAGGTTGCCGCCATTTTCTTCAGAAAAGATCTCTTCAGAAACATAAAGGTCTACCGTCGGCAATCCTGGTCTACCGTCAGCAATCCTGGTCTACCGTCGGAAAATCTTGTGATATGTTAGAAAATCCTGTGATATGTCCGGGAATATTGCCGTTCGTGAGCAAACATTGCATTCTGAGGTGTCATGTCATATCCACCTATCCAGCGTGTTTTTTAATTGTTTTTTATTTATTGAGTGGTGTTTCCTTGTTGGTAA